AAGCCACATGGAGTTTGTGGGGGGAGTGAGTGGGTGCATTGTTTGTGGGGTATGTGATTGTGTGTGGAGAAGGGTGTGGTTTGTGGGGGAGGTTTTGAGTGTATGGTGGGGTGTGCATGGGAGTCCCCTGCACATACCCCTGTGAGCCAATCAACACTCACCCCCCTCCACAACAGCCCAGAGCCTGCCAACAGCATACAGCCCCATCCCACCCCATGCCTGCTCTGTACTACCTGGCTGTGGCACATCCTGCCAATGCTTCGGCATGCAGCAGAGCTAGGGCAACTCCTTCCAGCTGCTGCTGCTGCCACTGGCCCCAGACCTGTGGTACCAGTGGGGACACATGCACATAGCCCTGACCTGGTGTGCTTCACACCTGCTCTGGACTCACCTGTCCAGGCTCAGCAATGGCAGTGGGCAGAAACTATTGCTCAGCACAAAGGAAAAGTGGCCCCTCACTGCTGTCAGGCAGTTCTTGGTGCAGCTGCCCAAAGCCCACACTGCCAAGGTGCCCTGTGGCTCCACTGCTGTCACCACCACCTCTAGGCTATCCAGTGCAGCAGCAGTGACAGTGCACAGCAGCCACAGGACAACCCGGGCAGTGGTGACACAGGGCAGCCTGGCATGGTGCAGGATCCAGGCAGCTGTACCAAGAACTGCCTCGCAGCAGCGAGGGAAAGAGGCAGCTTTTCCCTCGCGCTCAACAACAGTTTCTGCCAGGCAACTACCACTGCTGAGCCTGGCCGCATGAGTCCAGAGCAGGCACAGGGCATGCTGCGTCAGGGCTGTATGCATGGGTCCTCACTGGTACCACAGGGCTGGGGCCAGCGGTGGCGGCAGCTGAAAGGAGCCGCCACTGCCTAGGCTGCCTAGAAAGGCAGTCCAGCTGCAGAGCTGCCCCAGCCCTGCTGCTCCCCAGGGGGCAGCAGGACATGCCACAGCTGGTGGCGCCTGGGCCAGGTGGGACCATGGGACCAGCCATGAGCCAGACAAAGCCCCTCCATGGGCCAAATCTGGCCCACAGGCCGATTTTTGCCCACCCCTGCTATAGAGCAAGGGCAGGCAAAATATGGCCTTGCGTAATCAAGCCAGGCCAGGTGGGACTCCCAGCCCTGCAGCTGGGAGCCGTGCACCATCAAGCCAGGCTGGGTAAGTCCAGCTCCATCTCACCATGTGCAGCTCCCAGCACTGCAGCCAGTAGCCACATGCATTTAGGCAGGGCAGGCTCTGTGCCTCCACATGTGGCTCCCAGCTGGAGTGCCAGGAGTCCCACGTGGAGGTATGGACCAGGTCTAGCCTGATGGTTTATGGCTCCCCACAGCCAAGAGGCTCTGCTTGCCACAGACTATGAGCAGCCCCAAGGGCCTACTGCTGATGCCAGCAGTGAGGGTGATGTGTGCATGTGGGGGGATGAGTGGATGTGGGTGTGGATAAAGTGGAGTGTGTGTGTGTGGACCCCCCCCAAAAAGGAATTTATCATAAAAGTATTCATTTTTACCAGTTAAGAATAAGAAGCCGCTACAAGTTTGATATGCATAACACAATAAAACACACCATCATAATATAAACAATTGTTTGTTTGTTCTCAGTAAAAACATTTTGGTGAAATCCATTATTTACCTTTTTACATAGCACAAAAAAACTATCCAACAGCTCTCAAAATGTACTAGTAGTTCTAATTATTTAAAAATAGACATTGTCACCTGCCATGCTGTTTCCAGAAAGAGACAACAAACTTAGTTTTGAAACCAGGATTTTGATCTCCTAGAATTCTAGCAGTACTGTAACTAATGAGTATTGATTATTTTTAACAGTGGTTTTGGATCTGGAGGTTATGGATACCAAGAATCAAGAGTTCAAATCAAAGGTAATTATATACATTCGTTTGTTTTTTTCTGGTGTAAGCTGGTATTACATGGATGTAATAATGCACATTTTAAAATCAATCAGTTTCCCCATGCTGTAAAGAAATCTTGAGCTCATGGTAACAAAAGATTTTTTTATAAACATAATTACTGGTTAAGGACCAAAAATTCCTATTAACTTCAAGGGACACTGAATCAGGACCTTGATACTGTGTTAGCATTCAATCACAACAAAATTCTGAAAGATCCTGGTGAGATACAAGCACCTTCAAATCCCATTTAGGTCCAAAGGAGACATTCAGAAATCCAAAGGACTGAGTTAAGATATTGGAAAAGAATTCATAATTCAGAATAAATAAAATGGCAGATTTTAATCAATACTGCTATTGAGGTTGGTGTTTTGACACCTTTTTCATGTTGGTAAATATCTTTGCTAACACCCATAGTGCAGCCAAAAATACAGCTGAAGTTCTTAAATATATAAAGCATTTCCCAGGAAAGTTTACAGTGTCATAAGGCTTAACACATCCTATATTTATTTTATAGGATCAGAATTTTTACTGTATGTGACTTTTTCTTCAAATATCTTAATGGAGACTACTGTCAATATTTTATTTTTAGAACCATCTAAAACTCAAGTGATTAAGACAATTGTTGAAGAGTTGGTAGATGGCAAAATAGTCTCATCTGAAGTCAAATCAGTTGAAGAAAAGCCAGTTAAATAAACAACAAACTGAAACAGAGGACCTTTTATAGATGCCAAAAGACAGAGCCAAGAACAAGGAAGACTTCTGGACAAATGCAGAATTTTAAGTGGTTTAATAGTTTCATGCCTTAAAACTGAGAGGTGTAGTTAAAGTTTATCTGCTTTTTGTTCTTGCTTTGCTGAGGTCTACACTTTATAAATACTAAAAGTACATTCTATTTGATGTTCATTTTTCAATAGATTTGTTAAAAACAGTTATTTGATTTTCAAAATGTAAAGATAATCAGGACTAATGCAAATAATTATCTTTAAATTTTCTGATTATCTTTAATTTTTTTAAATCTTTTCCTGATTGTCAAACATTTGTGAAATCTAAGCAAATTTTGATTTTTTTTAACTCTGAAACTTATACTAATGATATTCAAAAGCTCTAAGCAACTGATTGATGATTGAGCAGAAAGCAAGGTAGAAATGCACCTTATAGACTAATTCAAGTGTGTCAAACATATAGCCTATGTGTTGGGTCTAGCATGCAGAACCATTTCATCTGGCTTGCCAGTAGTCCTGTTAACTACTAGAAGTTGCGGGGCATTGCTTGCTGCAGAAAGGGATCTCAGGACCCCAATGGACATGGCCATCAGTGGCAGCTCCCAAGCTCTGGGCTATCACCCAAATGCAGGCTGCCACTGCCATAAGCCTCTGGGTCTCCGCACCCATGCTGCTGCCCGGATGCAGCCCCACACCACCACCTGCCCCCAGACCCACACTGCTGCCTGGCCCAAAGCCCCAGCCCCACACTGCTACCTGAACAGCGCCCCACTGCAGTCGCTGCCCAGGGATCCAGCCCAGGAGGAGCCCCTGTAGTTCAGATCCAGCCTGTGGCCTGGGATGAGTTTGATACTCATGAACTAACTGAATGAGAGATGCACAAGCTTTCATGAACAAGGATTTGCTTCATCATATGCTTAAGTGAGCTCTCCCTTATCACAGCTTATGTGTCACTCATTCAGTTAGTCTATAAGGTGCATCTCTATCCTGCCTTCTGCCTGACTTTAGACTAACACAGCTAACCACCTGTATCTGATTTCCTGTTATTATTATACAAAATATAACATATTAATATGGGAAAATTAAACTCTCATGATTTTTTACAAAGATAAACAACAGCAGTCAATTTTTCAGAGACTAGGCTGTATTTTATATCTTTGGGACTTATACATCTATGCACTTTTAAAATCCCACTAGATGCCTGTTTGCATCTTTAAGTGCCTAAATTCTTTGGAAAATCTAGTCCCTGGAGGCATCAATCCTACTGACTTTCAACAGACTTAGGTTTTTTATTCTTTTTTTTGAAAATTCAACTTAGATACTAAAACCATTTAAATGTTTTTGAAAATTTTACTCAATCTAACAATTTGATGTTGTGAATCTTGCAAATTCATTTCCTTGACAAGACTGAATAGAGGTTTCCACTGAATCTGATCAATATAAGCAAATTCTGTTATGCTGGTGTTCATTTTCAAGGCATACAATAGGAGATAAAACTTAGAATGCAGGACCCTTTAAGGGTGATTCATATGCTGGCATCACAACAGCCACTGAAGCTTGAAACAATCTGACCCAACAATCTCAACCTGGTCTTTGCTGACACCTGCCAACTTTGTTCTACCTTCACCATCTGGACAAAATTCACGTAGCTCTGATGAAGGGAAGAAACTCTTGAGCTCTCTGTACATAACAAATTTCAGTCAGTAACCCAAAATACAGTTTCTCTACAGATTTTACCACCTGTGAGCATAAAAATAAGCATATCAACTGAATTAAAGAAAAGCAAAAAAAAACAAAATAGGAAAATCAAATTGAAAATAAAAATGAGTTTTGTGTAAATGCTGAGTAAAAATGCAATAAAACAGATAATGGTCTAAATAATAAAGTATTATCAATCCCATAGAAAATACAGGCAGAAGGGAGGACAGGCTGGCACTTTAGAAACTAATTAAAAAGGATGTGAGCTTTTGTAGGTATCATTGCTATCATAACATCTGATGAAGGGTGCCATGAGACCCTTTCATTGTTAACCATGAAAACACCTAATGATTCACAAGATAAGCCAATGTCAAAAACATCTGACCTGTTACCATCTCTCTGCATTCTTTGCAACAGAAAAAATGCTCTATTATTTTTCCATAGTCTAAAAACATGTGAAAACTAAGAACTGGAATTTTCCAAGATGTACGTTGAATCTAAGAAAGTTGAGAATCACTGGCCTATGCCTTTCTGAACAAGTTAGTCTCTAAAGCAGGGGCAGGCAAAATACAGCCCGCAGGCCAAATCCAGCCTGCCAGGCCATTCTATCCGGTGGCGCACAGGGCCCCTAAAAAATTTAGAAAATTAATATTTATCTGCCCTGGCAGCCTGCCAAAGCTGACAAGAGCCAGAGGCAGTAGGATCCACCGACCCACCCCCAGCCATTTCACTCCCTTCCTGCCCCCCCGCCCTGCTCCTGCTCCAGCACCACATGGCTGCCGGCTGCATCATGGGACTGGGGAGCTACCCACAAACCTATACCCACCCCCCACAATATACAAGAGTAAGACTTCATTTTAAGCTATTGTGCAATCATCTCTATGTACACTACACAAACACATGTAAACCAGGACAAAAATATTTTTTAAACCAAATTAATGAATGTTGAAGATGTTCACTTTTTAGAATATAATTTGATATTTTTCT